AGCTCGCGTTTGGTCTTGCTCTCGGCGTGAGCAATTATCCTTGTCGCTGCGAAGTTAAAGCCGTGGCCTGTCTCATAGGTTTTGGCCGCCACTTGCGACAGTGCTTCACCCAGCCTGACAGCTCGCTTATGTTCATTTATGCGCGAAACCAGCATGCGTTCAGTTTGTCCTGTGTAGTTACAAGAGCAACTTGAGCATGGGATACAAAACACTACCCTGGATTTTTCTTTGGGTTTCAGTGGGTCTTTTATTTTCATCACCCGGCTAAACATGGTAGCCTTAAGACGATGTGCAAATCCGACACCCAGTTCCGCAGCGATGCGCTCGGTCGCTACTGAGACATTCTTGATGAATGGTAGAGCGTGCCATATCCCCGGAGGTTCTTCCGTTTGGGCCCTCCGGGGTCTTAAGCATAGATAGCGGCTTATACATGCTTTCGGACAACCACTGATGGTCAAATATAATCCAATCTCGAATACAATAAAAACATGAACGACAGGCTATTTCCTCACGCTGAAACTCATGATACCTTATAATGCATGTGGACATATATTGTAGTATGATAAACCTAAAAGTAACCGCTCGTTGCTTGAAAAACGAAAATTACACCAAACTAAGATTAAAGTAAACTAAACTAAATACTAAACAAAACTTAAAACTAAACCAAACTAAAACTAACTAAATTAAAACCAATTTAAAAGTAACTAAAATAAAACTTAACTAAACTAAACCTAATCAACTACGTTAAAATAAAGTTAACCAAAGCTAAGCTGCAACTCAAGTTAACTAAAACTGAACTAAGCTAACGAATACTAAAGCAAAAAGTAAACTAAACTAAAACTGAACTTACAATAATAAACTAAATGCTTAAATAAAAGAATGAATTAAACTAACATTAATCAAACCAAAAGCAACCGCGGAACGCTAAAGATTTCCGTGCTGGACACATCAATGCTGCCATAAATAGTAAGAGCGGCTACTGGATTCTGTACAGTGAAAAATTGCAATTACGCCTGCTTTAGTGCATATAGCAGTTGTTTAGGTATAAGTATTTAACGCTGGCGAGCAACCTAACGTGCACCAGACAC